CACATGTATGTCCATGCCACAGACGCTATTAGAAAACATCAGGTCCCCTGAAAATGGAGTTACAGACTTTTGTAAGCCACCCAGCATAGGTGCTGGAACCTAACTTGGGTCCTGTATAAGAGCAGCAAGTGCTCCTAACCACTGAGCCATCTCTCCAGACCACAACTTTATATGATTTTTAAGATGAGAGACAGAAATGTAAATATCTCTTGTAAATCTGGTTTCCAAGGCTCTGTCTCCTCTAAGTACCTAGCCAGGCTGCTAGGAACCCTGCTCTGCCCATCACAGAAACACAGGCACAAAATCTGCAGCCAGTCGACAGAATACAGAGATTTCTAGGCAGAGTTCACATTCAGACCTCAACTACCCTGCACAAGATGACGTGGAACTAGACTTCCTTACAATGGGGCCAGCAGCACTGTTGATTGGCCAAGCGAAGGAACAGAAGGCCGTTTGCCCAATGGGCAATATGCCAATCAGTGGGTTCTGCATGTTGAAGACTCCAAGCCACTTGGCTCTGCCGGCTCCACACACAGGGGCTGCTCTATATCTATGGGACCAAGTGGAGCTCACCCATCATCCCTGATTTCCAGGACAACCAGCATTGCGACCTCACAGGAGCCACAACCTAGACTGGGTAAGAGACTGACTGTCTAGGACTGGGGCAGGAGGGCTAGCAATAGGGCAGGAGGGCTAGTGATGGGACAGTGTCCAGGAGAAATGGAACTGTGAGCCCACAGTGACAGCAGAGGGCTGTCAGGGAGAGAGAGGAAAAACCGGGCCAAGAGGAAGAGTTGACACTTCTGCTCTGTTCTCACAGGAAAACATGGGTCTGAAGCTGCTTGAGTCCCGACTATGTCTCCTGTTGCTGCTGGGACTTCTCCTGATGGTTGCCTCATTCCAGGTTCCACCTGGTTTAACCCCTTCCCGGTGGTTCACAATCCAGCACATAAGGACTAGTGCTACCATCCAATGTGATGGCGCAATGCTGGGGGTTAACAGATACACAAGAAGATGCAAGGACATAAATACTTTCCTTCATACACGTTTTGCTAATGTGGTTAATGAGTGTTTCAATAGAGATACTAACTGCAAGAACGAACGAACAATTTGTCATGATAGTTCATCTCAAGTATCTATAACTTACTGTAACCTCACAACTCCGTCAGCAAATTATATAAAATGCAGATACCAAACGACACACGACATGAAGTCCTACACAGTGGCT